TGAATGAATGAATGAATGAATGAATGAATAAATAAATAAATAAATAAATAAATAAATACCTTCAGTGCCAGCAAGCTTTTGTTTATTTCTGCTGCTTCCATCCGTGTTTGCCGATCTGCACTAGATGTATCAGCGCCTCTTTCATTCCCAGCTAAGTCCACCAAGGAGAACTTGCCATGAAGTTTTCCTTTTCTGCGCAGAATAATTTGAAAGCAAGCATGGGAGCGTGAAGAGCTAGAATTTGCAAATGTATGCCCAGAGGTCCTGCAAAGATAATAGAAGTATTCACTGGATCATGAATTAAAAGGAGCCCACAAATTAGGGCTTAACATATTGGTCAACCAAAAAATTGTTGCCATCAAATGTTGACAACAAAATTCCCCACAAGACAGTGTGCTACTGTTCACCTCATGCTACATCTCAAGTGTAGCCAGTGGTTAGGGAAAACCTGCTTTGATTTCTAGCTGTAAGCTAACGAGGGTGAGGGGGACACAAAATAAGCCTCCACTGCCCATCAACTTATCTGAAGCAAGGTGAGAGGCTTGCTTGGCCTCTCTGCTAGAGGTGTGTCCTAAATTCAAACAGCCCACCCGACACACAGGAAAGGTTGCACACTTTAGACTCTAACCTGACAGAGGGAGGAAGAATCACATTAGTTTCCTTTTGTACATAACTCCAGAGCAGGGCTCATCTCTCTAACCCACCTGGTTCCTGACTTACCATGTGACAAATAAAATGACTAAACCCTGAATATAAACATATATGACTCCAACAAAAACTCTACATTTTCTTGGCCTCCCCAAAAATAGCATTTGCAGTCTATTACGTCCCATCTTATCTTCCAATTAGCACTTCCATTTACAAGTCGGAGTGTAAAAGTTAATGCATCAAGACAGACATCAATCTTTATAACATTTGTCAAAGGCTCTTAAGTGTTCCATATCTGATGCTTCCATGGCCTGAATAATTGAATTTCTTCATGGTCCCCCATAAATCTCCCCACCACTCTATATCTACCCATCACTCTGTTTCCTGCTGTAATTGATTTTTGTAACAACAAAAGCAATATAAAATAAAATGGCCAACATTCCAAATACAGTGGACCCTCGACATACGGAATTAATCTGTATTGGAAAGGTGGCCGCAGGTCAAAAAGTCCATAGGTCGAGGTCCATTTCCCATAGGAATGCACTGAAAACCTATTAATCTGTAACCGGCCGAAGAAAAAATACCCCCCATGACCAAAAAAGGAAAATAAATGCAAAAAGCAGCACCTTACGCCATCGCCACTGCCGAAGCCCTCCGAGGGCTTTCCCGCCGCTGCCAGAGGCCTCACGGGGGTCCCCGGCTGCCGACGTTACCACTGCTGAAGCCCTCCGAGGGCTTCTCTGCTGCCATGGGAGGCCTCTTGGAGGTTGTCTACCAGGCTTTCCCGGTGAGTAGACCGGGCCTACCAGGGGAAGCCCTCCCCAATAGGCCCGGTGTACCCTGGGAAAGCCGGTGGCGGCGGACGACCTCCGAGAGGCGTCCCATGGCGGTGGAGAAGCCCTGGAAGGCCTCCAGAGGTCCCCCTTGCCACCGATTGTGCCTCCGAAGCACAATCGGTGGCAGGGGGGACCTCCGAGATGCCTCCCATGGTGGCGGGGAAGCCCTGGAAGGCCTCCGGAGGCACAATCGGTGGCCTACGAACCAAAAGGGGGAGGCGGGGAAACTGCCAAATTTGAATTTGCCGCTTTCCCCGCCTCCCCCTTCTGGTCCATAGGTCAATTCTCCGGCCACAAGTCGAAGTGAAATTTTGCGGCCGAAGAAGTCTGTAAGTTGAAAACTCCACAGGTGGAGCTGTCTGTAAGTCAAGGGTCCACTGTATTGTACAGGCCCAGCTAACAGGTTTGGTATAGACACACAGAGCCTTTCAATTTCCTTATCAGTTTGTTTTAAAAAAAAGTTAAGTCCCTCTAGCATGACTCCACCTGGCTGCATATTACCTTTGAGAGACTAAAGGTTATGGGTAGCTCCCCCTCTGTCTACGAGGCAGATTATACATCACTAAGTGTCATTTCTCCCTAATCCGCTACAAGGGTCTTGAGAAAATGCCAGATGTTGCATGCTGTGACCCATACGCCAAAATCATGATAGAGAAAGCAACATACCTGCAGGCACTACCTATTTCAATCATCCGGATGACGTCCTCAGCACAATTCACTTGTATTTCTTGCAGGCCAACCACCTGGATCTGCTGTTTGCCATCCTCCAACACTCTCAGCTTTGCTTTTTTGTTCAAGAGGTCAAACAACTAGATTAAGAATTAACAGTTGCAGAAAGAGCTAGTACTAGAACTGTCACATTTAAAATCAATAACCTTTATATAGGTTGCTTCAAAAAAGCACCCCGAAGGTCTTACCATAAAGCTTGTTAAGCAACAAGAGTGCATTACATTTGAGCCATGCAGAGATTTACCCCACTTGTTGTGAAACATATATGGCTGGGGGCAAATTGTGACAAAACTGTGTGTCCAAGGCCAAGTTCCATTTACTAAGTGGTCAGGATCAAAGAAGTACACTTTTAAGCACATATGCAAGTGAGGGGTGTCTGTTCAATATTTCCTTCTAACACCGCATTATATGTATTCGAAAAACTGACTCCCCAGCAGCACCCTCAATACGCACTGCCTCACCTTTCCATTGTATATTTCGAAGAAGGTCACATAAACTTCCAAACCCTGAGTTTTGTACCGGGACTGGTTCAAAAGGAGGAAGACATCCTGTGCTAGTAGGGGAAAGAAAAGCACAAAACAAAAGCTATTCATCAGTAGTATTCATGGGCTTTTCAGGTCTTTTTCACAAGCTTTTGCTCAGCTTGTGATGTCTTTAAATCACTGTATTCAAAACATTTCTAATGAATGTTATAAATTAACATAGTACTTAACTAGTTATTTCATTAGGACAAGAGTACTTCCCAATATTTTTTTCAACTTTTAAAGAAGGTTTGAATGAAAATAGTACATACATGCAAAAGCATATATTCCTTTGGAGGCCTTTTGTACTTTCCCAGAGAAGTCTCCGCCCATAGTCTGGAAAGAATACATACATTAGAAGGCAAGGGCTTGACAACTACAGGAAAATGCCACTTTCTGCCACTCAGATTATTTTCAAACAAGGAAACCAGGCTTTCCATGCCAATGGAACCTAGTCCCTGCAAGATTATGGAAGAGCAACCTACAATCAATAAAACGTCTTATTTAAAAATGTAATTAAACCAGCTCTGAATATGCAGACAGATTCAATCATTGGCTTTCATGCTGAATCATAATTCAAATGCTGCATATTGTCTGAAACACACAAGGGCTTAAAATAACACATCAACACAACTAGAACAGTGCCACTATTGGGTAGGGACAGCAGAAAGTAAGGAAATAGCTTTGAACTAAAAATATTCACACCTGAGTCATTGTTAGTTTGTTCTTGACCCTCGAAATTATACCATATGAAACGCTGGCTTGGATGTACCCTCCCTAGCTCTATTTACTATAGATATATTTTAGAAATCCAGAGTGCAAGATCAAATTGAGATTTTTCAAACCTTCCACGCTACAAGAGCAGAGGAGGACATGTAAGAGTCGTGTGCTGTCTCTCAGAAGTGAAGACAAACATGGATAGGCACTGAAGCCTTGACTTTAGCAATGATCAGTGATGCCTGCACTGCCCTCTTACAGAAAACATAATACTGTAAATAAGATGCAAGGTAGATGTTAGATATTAGTTAGAACATTAACTTCTGTACTGATGAGAAAACATTCAGAAATGGTAAAAACTGTGTTGACTCAATCCAGATAACATAGGAGAGGGTTCTACAAATCCTCCTAGCCCCATCTAAAATGGTAGGGAACTGTGGTACTATAGTCCAGAACAGCAACAGTACAACCAAGTTTTAAGTTTAGTAAAAACTGCAGTCTGAAAGCTGAAGGAACAAGACACTCACGTGGGTTTTTCCACTGCCAGTCTGACCATAGGCAAAACATGTTGCCTTTCCTCCCTCAAAGATGGTCTGCACAAGTGGTCTAGCAGTGAACCTAGAGGAGCATAAGGAGAACATATATAAATGAATGTAAATTAATGTGAGACTATTTTGATTCAAGTACATCTACAGAATTCAGATTTTCATATTTACAGTTTAAATCTCCTGTCAAAATATACTGTCAAAGATAAGGAAGTTAAAAATCTGCATAGCTACAAGTGCAGGGTAAGATGAAGAATTTAGTAATTTCAGTCAAATCTCAACAGCTGCTTTTGTAAATTGGGGAAGCAATCTGTGCTCAATGGAAAAGCCGCCAAGGAAGCATCAGAGGTTGCAGGTCTCCCTGTCCACATGAAGGACCAAGGCTCAAGGCTTCTCTAACACAACAGTGGAAAATGTCTCCACCAGCTTCAAATAGAAACATAACAGCTACCCGTATGTCTAACCCCTTGCTTTGGGGGCTATTAAAAACACTCCTATCTCACTCAGATGGTTCCATAAAAGACTGATGGTATTTCTTGCAAGTGAAAAATACTGAAGAACATAAAATATTTTAAAGCACTAATTAACTAGTTGTTTCAACTTAATGGTCGCAGCATGAGAGAGAATCATGGTGCAGAAAATTCATCTTTAACCCCTTCCAGAGCTTACCTACTCTATTTTAAAGTGTGGTGGCTATTGCATAAAACACCAGTCTTTTTTGGGGGGGCAGGACTGTACGCAAGTCATATTACATGTAAATTTGTCCTCACCGCCTACTGGCTGCTGTTACTGCACCAAATGTCTCTACTCAGTGTCTGTAGAAGGAAAGACATACATTACCAATAAACCATTTCATTAGAAGCTTTTTCATCAAATGAGAAGTCAAATCGAAAAGGCTGGTTTTCAAGATATTTCGTCAGATCCACCTTAACCTTTGGTTCATGCACTAGGATGCTATTCTTGCTGACAACCGTGATTATATCACATTCCTTCTTTGCAAGTTCTGTTGAAAAGAAAAGTCATGTGCACTATGAAGCAGGACATCATGAAATCTAACATTTTGTATCATGACAGCCCATGTAAGGAAGGCAAAAGTACTCCTACAGAAACTGAGTAACTTGGCATAGATGTTTTTTTGTACAGGAAACAGCTATTACAGAGAGCCGCAGCAGGCAGATGTAAAATGCTGTCTGGAAGAATGGAAATGAAGAAACAACTTAAAATTAGAATGGCAAGTTTAAGAATTAGAAGCTGACACATTTTACTTGCTAGAACTCTAGAAAGTTTGCCAGATCATTCTCAATGTATCCTATCCCTCCTTCCTTTTCCATAAAATAATTTCCTAAAGCAACTTGGCAGCACTATCACAATTTCTGCAGTTACAGAATCTACAGAAACCAACATGAAGAATAACTGGGAAAGCCCTAAACTCTGCAGAAATCCTCTTACCTTGTTTATTTAAGGGCCGTTTCCTGACACAAACACAAATTCTGTGCTCTTCTATCTTAAAAAAAGAAAAACACAAGCCACATTAAGATTGGAAGCTTACGATCTTTATTCTTTAATCTACTCATCTGTTAACAAACAAAACCCAAACAAACAACAAAAGGCATAACAGGTTGTACTAGATCTTTATTCTTTAATCTACACATCTGTTAACAAACGAAACCCAAACAACAAAAGGCATAACAGGTTGTACTATTCAAAATTAGTTTCCATTTTTATTACACATGGCATCAGCCTTCTTATGCAGCATTGTCCTCTGATTATGCCCTTTATACATGTGAATTTAAGCTCTAACAAAGGTTTTGTCAAATGTAATACTGCAGGCCAAGCTATGTGTATACAGTAATGTAAGACAAGGGGCGAGTGTAGTAGTCCTCTCGCTGGAGTGCCATCCCTTCACCACACTGTTGAGAAGGAGGTGCAGACTCTGCCTACTTCACCCCTTCCCCACACTGTCGAGAAGGAGGTGCAGACTCTGCCTACTTCACCCTCTAAGAAAACAGAGCAGCAAGGGACAGATACTCGAGAACTAGAAAGAAAGATACGGGGGTGAACGGTTGAGGGAACTCAAGAGAGATTGGCAGGAACAGAATGGAAGAAAAAGGTGGGAGATAGAGGCGGGGGCAGCAGAGATAAAAAGGGAAGAGGGCCAGTTACCTCCAGGATGGGAATGGGTCGGGATGGAGGATCCTTGGACTAGCGCATGGGAAAAATTAAGGGTCCTGAAAGAAGAGGCTGACTACAGGCGAAGGAGAGAGATTTCCCCCCCCCCGAGACCCTCTTACTGGGGGGAAGCTGAAGCCAAGGGAATGGCAGAGGAAACTAAGAGAGAGTGGGAAATGGAGAGAGAGAATAGAATGGAGGGTGAGTGAGATGAGGAGGAAGGGGTACAGAGAGGACCCTGAGCGACCCCCATATTGGTCGGAAATGCCAGGTGGGGCGACAACCGGGATGATAAGTACAGAGAGGACCCTGGGCGACCCCCAGATTGGTCGGAAATGCCGGGTGGGGCGACAACCGGGATGATAACACCATACCCCTATTGGATGGAGAGACAGGACAGGCGAGGAATCTAAACACCTTGACAGATTGGCCGGGTCCATGGAATGCTGGTGAGGGGAAATCCTTCCTAGTTGAAGAATGGAAGCCCCTGACTGACCCGTTGTCAGAAGAAGAGAAGCGTAGGAACAGTTTTGTTGATACCGGTTATTTGTTAAATACTTGCATCAACCTCACCCCTGTTTCAAAGTTACAAAAATCTCCTGATTTATTTGAAAGAAGGAAGAAGCCAAAAATTGAACCCTCACAAGTACATCAAGGAAATTCATGTTGTCGTCACTGACATGATATAACAAACTGAGAAGAAACAGTGTGGACCTAATAGTGAGGCATGCTGCAGCATAAGCAGTTAGGGCTATAACAAAAAGTTGGGGCAGATAATATCAGTATGGCTTTATGGAAAGCTTATCAAAATAACCATCATTCAAGTGTACACTCCACTACAGATGCTGACAAGGAAGCATTTATGCAAGTGTACAGGAAGAAACTGATCACACGCTGAAACAGGATGCACTGATATTCAGGAATGCAAAAGTAGAAAACAAACCAGAATTGAATATCATTGGAGGATTTGTCCTACGAGTCAGCAATGAAGTAGGAGAGTGATTCATTGAATTCTGTGAAGCCAACAATGTGCTCATTGGAGACATATATTGTAGGCAATCAAGCAGACAAATGAAGACTGAAATCAGAGACGTTACCAGGAAAGAAGACAAAAAGATTATTTCTGTAGTCAAAAGAAAATAAAAACCTTGATGGACAACTGATGGAACACTTAAAATTGCTGAAGACAGATAAGAAGCAAAAGGAAATGGTGACCAAATAGGTTCACAATCCTAAATGCAATTTTTCACAACTGCCATGTAGCAACCAAAAGAACTACCACAGTAAATACTGCAGAAAAAACAGAAAAGGACAGCAACAAAGAGAGGGTTTTTGCATGATATCCAAAAAAACAGAGAAATTTAAACTTAGATTAGGAATGCTTAAAGGTAAACCAGGAAATATATTATCAAATCATGATAAAATAAAAAGGGATCACAATGAAATAAAGACCAGTTGGAAGCAATATACTAAAGATCTATAAAAAAGATACAAGGAAGATGGGTTCATTCAAATAATTCTCTGATACAGAAGCTGCATGTTTAAGATGTGATGCTAAAACTGCTCTCAAAACAACTGGGAGAAATACCCGGTTTCCCTGAAAATAAGACCTAACCTGAAATAAACCCTAGTATGATTTTTCAGGACGCTTATAATATACTGGTAAGCCCTACCTCAAAAATAAGCCCTACCTCAAAAATAAGCCCTAGTTAAGTGAAACCCCACCCTTCACCACTGTGTAGCAACCAGAAGAACATGACATAACTGTATTTGAATAAATGTAGATTGTTGTACCTAAAAAAAAAAAAAATCCCCTGAAAATAAGCCCCAATGCGTTTTTTGGAGCACAAATTAATATAAGACCCTGTCTTATTTTCAGGGAAACACAGTAAATTAGGAAGAATGGATGGGATACCAATAAAATTATTTCAAATGATAAACTACCAATATCTAAACAAAAGTATGTCAATAAATATGGAAAACAAAACAATGGCACAGAAACTGTAACTGTTAATATACAATGCAGTTCTGAAGAAAGGAACGGTCAAAGATTGCAGAAACTATAGTGCTGTTGCATTCATTTCCCATGCAAATAAAGCAATGCTGAAGATTTTTACTATGTATGAAGTAAGAAATACTAGATGTTCCAACTGTATTCAGAAAAGAAATGGCACCAGAGGTCTTACTGTACAGTATATACTTTTGCCACTGGAACATACCAAAGAAATTCATATTTTTTGTTTTACAGATTACAGTAAAGCCTTTGTGAAAAGCTATAGATCATTCTAAAAGAAATGAGTATGCCACAATATTTGATTATCCTGATGCCTAACCTATACAGTACTCTGGAAGTTATGGATCCTCCAGAATTCAGAGAATCAGAATGACAAAAGCATCAGAAGCAAGAGTGTATTTTACATCCTTTTAGGTTCAATCTAAATGTAGAACATATATAAAAAGCTACTTAAATTCAGACATAGGTAAAACAAAAATTGATGGGGGGATCAATAATCTTTGATGTACAGATTATATGAGCTAAAATTACTGAAGCAGGTTAAAGAAAATGCCAAAAACAAGACTATAGCTAAATGTTAAGATGACAAAAATAATAACTAGAGGAAAAATACATAACTTTAATGTTGACAATAAACAAATGAAAAAGATTCCTGCATCTTGGTTCAATCATCACTCCAAATGGAGACTACAACCAAAAAATTAGTAGAAGACCCAGACTTGGAAGGCTAACAATTAAAATATTTGAAATGATCCACTGTATCGTACTCCTAGTTACTGGGTATGGACATGAAAGGTAGACAAAGAAGAAAACTGGTTGAATAAAAATGATTACAATTAATTCATTCAAAATGGGATATTGGAGGAGAGCTGTATGTATGCCATGGACTACTAGAAAGATAAATACAGTAAGTGGATTCTAGATAAAGATTGAATGCAGAAAAAGAGGAGGATTTCACTCGAGTTGGACTGACTCAATAAAGGGAGCTACAGTCACCATAATTCTGAAGTGACTTGACAACAAGCAACAACATAATTCAAATGACTTAAGTTATATGGACAAAGTTGCAACAGTACTTAATTGCCAATAGCAATCATCTTCTTAAATTAATAAGAAATATTATCAGTCAGTGATCAAAACTGTTAGTTTTCTCTGGATGCACAAGCAAAATTGTGGAATCCGCAATAGTTAATTGAAGCTGATTAACAAGATGCTAGTTGTATGCTTGGTTTGCCTGACAATCACAGAACCAACATCTCATTAATTTGCTCCAACTAGCTACTGTGTCTGCCATTAATTTGCTTGTATGTGCAGGAAAAAACAAAGTTTTTTTGCCCAGCACATAAAAATTTGATCTTCAACCATTCAGTTCAGTTAACATCCCACTGATTTTATTCAATAACCATCTCATATACCTGAGCTACTCTAGATCTTTGTTTAGTGCTACCTATACTATATGTTCCTTGTATGTGAATAATTCAAGTATAATACATTTAGAATCGGTGACAAGTTCCCATCTCTATTTTTTATTCTACTTATATGTTCTAGATATTTACAGAGGTTGTTATTCATTGTCCCTTTAAAAAGAGCTGGCAGATACCAAGGATAACATTTATTTGAATATTAAATGAGGGAGGCACTTGGGAATACAGCATAAACCTAGTTGGACGTATTTACTCACAGGGTCATTCATTGATATTGGCTGACAGTTTAGAGTGGCTCTGTATTCCTTCACCATGCGTGCAAAGTCCCAGTTTGGACAACTAGTGTCATATTCCTGCAAGACAAAATAGTAAATAGCTTATAGACTTGCTGCAGTGAGAACAAAGGTCATTGAGGAGTTCTCCTTCATAAAATTGTAAAGCATCTGTAAAAAAAACAATGTATGAAGCATGTGAGGATCAAATAATAAGCATAAGATCTTTCTTAGATAAATTTTCAATACTTCTAATGGCTAAAATATATAAATACAAGAAAAAAGATTCCTTCGGTTTTTCCGTTCCAACCTGATGCTTTTCATGTTGCCCAAATCCAACTTTAGTACTATTTATAGTAGCTCCACTATATCAATGAAATTTTACACTTATGTAGGTCCAACACATTCAAAAGGTCTTCTTTAATTATGACTAATAACTGGACTTAAGCCTTACTCTTTAGAAAAGCTATATAAGATAATAATACCGCCTTCTTGGATGAATGGAAGAACTTAGACTGTTCTGGCAGCTGATATAATGCACAGGACAAGCTAGGATTATAAACATGGAATAACTGTTTTTATAAAATGCTTCGCACAAGAGCTGTGCACATTGTGTTTATCTTACTTTATCTAGATTAGATGGACAACATAGATTAATATTCTAAATGTTGGTGTCATCAAAAATATTTGATAGCATTAATTTATTAAGTTTGATGCCTTGCAGAAGTTTGAACTTAAAGAATTTGCATTGCATCGCTTACCTGTGCTCGCTTGTTTCTTATCTCAGTGAACTGAGCTCTTTTCTCTTCCCTCTTACTTTTCATTTTTTCCATCTCTTTCACAATGTTAGATTTCCTTCGAGCTAGAGGGAAAAGTGTGCTATCAATAGGATAGAAATGAAATAACCGACATCCATAGATCTGTTATGCTTGCCCCCCTCACCAGAAAAGCAGTCTAATAATTTATAAATAAATAATTCATTTATTGCTCTTAAGTAAAACTATCCACAAACATGTTTTACTTCTATGAAAGAAATGTTTGGGTTTGAAACGGCCTAAAACTCTGCCATCAATAAACAGATACCAAGAAACTGATTGTGGTTACTTGATCAAGAACAAAGAGCACCACCAATTCCGAGACATACTTGTACCACCACTATTTGTGTTTATAGTTCATCTCAACTTAGTTGCAGAGTGGAAGCCCAGCTTAATTAAGTTTTAGCATTCATCCATTCATCCTCTATTCCACTGATTCACCAACTCCATCAACAGGATGGGAGTAGGAAACCTTCTGTCAGATACAACACAATTAAAAGATGGCTGTAAAGTTTCATGAAATAAAGCTATCCATCATCTTCTACCTTGAATTGCAGCAGAAACCATTCTGAGAGACTGTGGAGTTTCTTCAGTCACTTCATTGCCATTTGGTTGCACGTTACATTTATCAGAAGAATAACTACTCCTAGTTCGAGCACGTACAACTGTTTGAACAGGAAACTAAAATTAAACACTACCCAAGGAAACACAAGAAATACAGTAGCAGGATGGTTTGTACTAATGTTGGACCACAGTATTCACACAGGATCAGTTCCAAACCCCTTCCCCGCAGATGGAAAAACCGCTGATAATTGTCTCTGGTTACATATATAGCATTGTCTCTGGTTCCTTCAAGTAGCCAATTGTGGTACTTACATCATGGAAATTAATATTTCTGGATTTTCTTTCATTTAATATTTTCATACTCTGGATAAGTGAAACCATGGATACTGATTCTGAGGATACAAGGGTCCTACTACACTTCATTCAGAAGAAAAGAAACAAACATTAAGATGTGATTCTACTACAGATTTGATCCAGCAGGTGCACATTTCTGAACATAGCGACAAATCCAAATTTGGAATGTACTGTAAATAATAAAATCACTTTAATTTCTCATTAAGTCTTGCATGATCCATACTTGCTGGTTTAC